ATTATTCGATTATCGAGTTTTAAATGTTAAATAATATTTCTAACGAGTTCTGACGCCACTGTTTAAGGATTATCAGCCGTCGTGCGTTCTGATAAACGTTATCGGGTTTCATATCTCTTGAAACACTTGAAACGCGACCATATTACAATACAATATATACCTAATACGTCTTTAAAAACGATTTTATCCAGTGACAATAAAAGTACCTATTTTATGTATTACAGTTTGAAATGTAATATAAAAAAAATCTGTCGCCAACCGAACAGACGGCCGGTGCATACAGTACTACTGTCTACTACCCAATTTTTAGCACAATAAAAATATATATATAATATATTATGTTATTATATTAATATTATAACCGTGCAGCTGACAATGGGAGATTTTTCTCTCGTTTCTTTTATTTATTTCCTCCGCCGTCTTGTCCGAGTGACACACATGHGACATATGTATAGGTAGAGTGTCCAATAAACGACGTGTTATATAGGTAGGTGCTCGATAATATATATAGTAAATAGATACCGGCAAAATCGTCTCCCATTGGTCACGTTACGGATTTTTTTTTCACGTGCTTTCCACAGCTCGCAAATTTTTTTTTCCGTTGCACGGTCAATTATTACATATATAGGTAGTTAATATCACATTGTAGTAACTAAATAGGTACAACACCGCACATTGTTATTATACATAATATAYCTATCGAGAGGCGTTGTTGGTATAGGCACGGTCTACGCGAGACGATGATTTTTGCGTACCGAATTGAAAATGCATCTTGTCCAAATCGATCGTTCCGTGAAACGGGATCGAGTGCAACGCAAACAAACACACACATGGTGATAGTAAAATAATATATCGGTTGTAGATTCTGGGAACATAATCGCTGAGAACGTTTTTTTATTCGCTTTATTTACGACATAAATATATAATAATATTATCATACGCTGCAGTTTTATTGTCTCAACGCGTTCGTTGTCAGGAAAATAAAAATTCAACGAATATTTACTATTATAATTTTTTAAGACGTCGGGGGAATAATAATCATAATAAAAACGGTATTCGCGCCTGCGGTGGCTGCAACGCGTGTACGTACGAATAATATTATCGAACCAAAACCTGTCCGAACTGTTTTCGAAATTATATCATAATGATAATTATTATAGTCGGCGATGATAAATGATAACCTAACGATAACAATAATTAACAGAAATCGGCCTAGTTTTTTTGGTCGGCTGCACGCGACAACGTACCTACCTACTGCGTGGCGTAGTGCTTYGTAAATAAACGCGAAACCCGTTAATTGGTGGTCAAGTTCGTAATGATTGTCATCGTCTCGTTTGTTTTTTTTATTATTATTTTTTTATTAATATACCGCCAAATACAATTATTAGACGTCCGATGTTACGTCTCGCTGCTGCACGACCACGTCTTGGGCGCGCTTTTGCCAAAATAAACGCATCGAAACCAATTCAGATCGCAGTGTACCAATAATACGGCGTGTTAAAATAATATGCTACCTATTTATACCTACCCACACGCGTCAATTAATATTTTTAATAATATTATTGATTATCATTATTGCGTTTGCGGTCTGAAACGATTATATGCGCAAATTGACGGTGATTCACGTACGGACAATTATTGTGTAATTTAAATAAATTGCGATATGTCAATAATAATATCGAAACGATTTCAATTACTATTGCACTATTATCTCGATCGTTATTGTATCGTTGGAGTACATTTAAATCGGTTTGTTTAATGACACATTATAACTACTAYATAATAACACGTTCTTCACGTGCACTGAATTTACGTAGGTATATTGAACCATTATTGTACTTCATGTTAAGTCCCGCCACACAAAGCGGTTTACATATTATTTTATAGTGCACCATTAACGGTCGAAATGTTGATATGCCGCTTGTCAGGCCATCATATTTTTGTCGTTGAAACGAATTCAAGTAATATTCAACCGATTAGGGTAATTAGGTATACCCGGTATACTATACCGTGTACGTACCATACACTATAATGATGGACATTYGAAATTGATATATTATATAATAAATGTATACCTACACAATAAGTCTATACTTTCTATAAAACTTATAGGAATAGTTTAGGCGCCAATGGAAAAATGTACCTGCGTGGTTTGGAATTAGTTACCGGAGTCCGCTAAGTTGTTGCTATAAACTTTTTCACATTTCAATAGTTAAATACAGTTATAATATTATAAAATACGGTTTTTTATCATCATAACTGTTAAATAAAATTCCAGTTCCTCCTCCTGTTGAAATAATCTAAACAAGTATATCAATACGTTATTGTTTATTTCATATTATGTTGATTAAAAATAAAACCGTATTACTAACTGGTAATTGGATTGCCTTAATGCTACTACCTACTGTGATTTATGTTTAGCTATGATTAATTATTATTTAAAAATAATGAATGTTTTTATCTTTTTTTATTATATATATATGACAATTTTAGAGCAGGTGAATATTGTGTATTCGGCTTAATTTATAGATCCACCCCCATGATAAACTCATTGTATGAATAAAATTAACTGTTATTAATACACCCGATTAGGCGACAAAAATAATTTAATGATTTGAAACGATGCTGTGGCGTTTACARTATAAGCACTGGGACCTGAGTCCTTCAAAAAATCGTAACGATCGCCTAAAACGATCACGAGAGAAATTTACCGTTTATTTATTCACTCTTAACACATTTATTCAATTCGAAGGATTGTACTTTTTATGCACTTCTTAAAAAGAGTTAAATGCTTATAGTGAATTCGGTGTAAGTCASTATACCCTTAGTCGAGAATATACGTCTATATAGGTACCTGATTAACCTGATAGAATATTTCTGTAGTCGAAAGTCTTCCACGAAGATGCAAGATATGTCTTGCTAACAATGATTTGGTGGCCTTACGTGTTTTTTGAATGTACAAAAGTTGTTGATAGTTGAGATTGAGCTTTTAGTTTTTCGGTGATAACTATAGTAACATACGAGTTGCATTAGTCGATGACGGTAGCGTCGTCGCAATTTAGTCACCCATCATGTATTTAAGTGTTTTCCTGATAATCACCATCATGATACAGTACCGGTCGGTATTACAGTGTGGTACGACCCTGTCTCGAGAAAATATGTATTAAGTAAATTTGTTTTGTATGTCGTGTCATGTCACTTTATAATATTATTGTTTATTTATTATAAACTGCTATCGGACATGCTTCCTTGCTGCGTGCAGCGCGGGCCACCGTTACGTGATATCAGTTTGTGTCGTCGAAATCGTGAGTGTCACGAGCTCGAGGAAACGGTGATAATGTTATTTCCTATTACGCGTCGCGCAATAATTGATATGGATTTTGACACCGTGACAACACGTTTATTATGTACGTCAWTAAAAAATAACACATTACATATGACGCACTAAATTCGCTGTGTGTCGCCGAATTTCCCTGTTGTTGTGATCTTTGATTACAATCGTAGGACATAAATACGCGCTGTATACACTTCGAGATGCTCTACATTTCGATAGTCCATACTTCCATAGTAACGCGCGTACGTCGAATTTCACTCTGAATCGGTTCGATCGACACTCTTACATTTGGCGATTTCGGTACAACTTGTACGCTATAATAATATCATCATATTATGCAGCTGCAGTTATAATTGGAAATCATAATATTTATATTCTCCCGACTGCCCGCCGCCATCGACAAAATAAATCGACTGATACTTCAGTGACGAATTATTTACACACGTTTCTCATTTATAGGTAAAGTTTTCATTTAAATAGCTCTACTACCTCGTTTCTTTTTTTTAAGCTTACTGTCCATTTTTCACGAACTCGTGTCTGCAGTTATTATTTTATACGACATATGTTTACTTTATAATATTATATACTTTATTTGATCAAAAAATTATTCCATTACTTTTTTTTAAATAATTATAATTCATGAAGTTCAATGAGCTGCAATCTTACCATTGCGGGCCTGCAGTTGACTTTTAAGTTTTAACCGCTGGATGCTGGTTGATATTTTAATAAATAAACGTAAATTACATATTATATTGTAAAGGCTATCAAATATTTCTGATTTAAATAAATCTGGCATAAACCTATAAAAATATTATATATTACATAATTTATAACATATACGCCATTGTCATTCGTGTACGTCGTTCGCACATTTCGCACAGTGCACACATATTATAAAATGTATATAATATATTTGACATACTATTATGACCTATGACATTGCAATATCTAACATAGTCACGGTGTTCATCACCGCCGTTACTTATATGAAATGCGCATTAGATTCTCATCACAATAATTCCGTTCCGACGTATATAATAATCATCGTACCGTTATTATATGAACGCTGTGCATTTGGTAGGCTGTAATGTTTATAATTTTATTTACTCGAATGACTGCATTCTTGCGAGTTTGTGACCAGTTTACTTGAGTGAGAAAGAGGAGAGAAGCCGCCTTAATTGCACTTGATTTTTTTATCTGTTCCATATATATATATATATTATTCTCATTGCATTTCTCACTAATTGAAAATTCATTTTTTGTACGCCCATAATATTATAGGCTAGTTGGAATAGTAGTCTCCATAAATATCCTAACCACTTAATCGATATCATTATCGAAGTAGTGATAACTGAAGTGTGAAAAATGGTGTTGATACATACAAAACGCAATACATTAAACACAATAGTGTGACGAAAACAAAAACAATTCTAAGAAAGGATGACAAAAACTTAATAAGGAACTTACTATTTACAATTCATAGTTTATTCTTATATCAATAAAAATTACGGTTATTGACAATATTTAGAAGCGCAATTAACATAAAAATGTATTTTATCGCTTACTGAATGTATTGTARCGTTAGAATACTATTGTTGCATTGTTAAATGGAAGTGTGATGAGAAATAAATTTATATTTTGTATTTAATTTTTCAATTTTTCTAGGATCCAAATATGCCACCTGGCGTCGCAGTGTCCCCAAGTTCGATTTCATCGGGATATGCAGCTTGTTCATTGATCAACGTGGACAGACAAGATCAACAACAGTCACTTCGTGGTAATTTCCCGGAAAATATGGATTCACATTTGGGAATAAGCAGCAGTAGCAGTAGCAGCAGCAGTAGCAGTAGCAGTAGCAGCAGCAGCAGCGCTAGCAGTGTAGAGAGTGCTGAACTTTCAGACAAAGATCAACTTCAAGTACAATCCTGTTATAAAGGCTTAAAAACACAGGTATATCAACTAGTTTCATAAAATACATCTTGAATTTCCAAAACTCTATTAAGATGAAATATATTTTCAAAAATTGTTTTAGATTGTTTTTTTAGGATTAATTTCTATAAGATTTTTATAAATTAGTTTAATAAATAAGTTTAAACTAAAAAAATAATACCAACGGATGTTTCCCTTCTCCTAAACTCTTAAGGAAGAAATATAATTAACAATTGTATTTTATATATCAAAATAATAACTTATTAAAACTTTGAAAACTCATAGCTAATTGTTTACATTTATTTTTTTTTTACAACACACTTGCAATTATGACTGAATGTCTTGTTAAGGTACCAACGTCAGCACACTTAAATATTCAT